AAAGTATCTTTTATGTGCTATGGTCTATACAAAAATGTAGTATAAATGTAGTATTGCATTAACTTCAATGGTGGTAAGAAGATTAAAATTTCATGGAACATGACATGCAACACAGCATTAAAGATATAAGACTGAACAATCCCAGTGCCTTTGCAGGATCCTTTTATATTTCTTTGTCAATAGGGTAAATTCTTAAAATACAATCCAGCATGCATAAGTGTAAGTAAAGCTTTCAAAATCTTAAAAAACATGTTATTTAGTAAGCTAATCATCAAAGCATTTTTATGGAAACAGAAGGGGGCTTTACTTATTAAAATCAATACAACTCACTGTAAGATAACATATTTGTGCTGTTTTTAACTCCTAAAATGTGCCCCTCACATTTAACAATATCTGGAAAAATATAAAATCATACTACCTACAGGTTTCCAAGTCAGTCTTCCCCCTCAGCAAAACATCCCAAGAACCCCAGATTCTTGTTATGATCAAGGCAGCGTTCAATATGACCGGTGCTAAATTAGAAAGAACATGATAAAGGATAGTGACATGGAAGCAGGAAGTTTCATACTGGAAAATGGCAGTGAAGATTACCATTCCCTTCTCGTGGCTCAAGTAGTATTCAGGTCCTCCCTACTCCCTAACCCAGAGGGGCTTAACACGTGGTCCTGGGAGCTGTAGCAGCAGTATCACCAGGGAACTTGTTAGAAATGTAAATTCACTGCCCCACCCCAGACCAACTGAATCAGAAACTCTGGGAATGGGGCCCAGCAATTTGTGTTTTAACAAGCACTACAGGAGATTATGATGTATGTTAGAGAACCACTCCTCCTCAAACTTTAATGTGCCTAAGAATCACCTGGGGAGCTTGTTAAAATGCAGATTCTAACTCAGCAGGTCTGAGGTGGGGCCCGAGAGCCTCCATTTCCAACAAGTTCCCAGTTGATGTCTTCTGCAGACCACACTGCAAGTGTTTCCCAAACGGGCTGTTTAACAAAATTACCCAGCGTGCTCATAAAATATGGGTCCCCAGGCACCACCCCAGACCAAATTAATCTGAATCTCAGCAGAAAGGCTTATTCGAATAAAACCAGTATTCCAGTTCAGCTACATATTAAAATCAGCTGGGGAGCTTTTACTAGTAATAATCCTGATGCCCAGGCCCCATCTAAGTTCAATTAAACCAGAATATCTGGGGTTGGGACCCAGGCATCCACATTTTAAAGAATTACCCAGTGATGCCCTAGTCAGTGATGGCGAACCTATGACACGCGTGTCAGAGGTGACACACGAACTCATTTTTTGGGTTGATTTTTCTTTGTTAAATGGCATTTAAATATATAAAGTAAGTATCAAAAATATGTCTTTGTTTTACTATGGTTGCAAATATCAAAAAATTTCTATATGTGACACGGCACCAGAGTTAAGTTAGGGTTTTTCAAAATGCTGACACGCCGAGCTCAAAAGGTTCGCCATCACTACCTGGTTTGGCTCAGTGGATAGAGCGATGGCCTGTGGACCAAAGGGTCTCAGGTTCAATTCTGGTCAAGGGCACATGCCCGGGTTGCAGGCTTGATCCCCAGTAGGGGGCATACAGGAGGCAGGCGATCAATTATTCTCTCATCATTGATGTTTCTCTATCTCCCTTCCTCTCTGAAATCAATTAAAAAAATATAAAATATATATTTAAAAAATCAAGCTTAAAAAACCAAAATTCCCCCAGTGATTCGACGTGCAGCCAAGGTTGAGAATGACTGCTCTGAAGTCTAACTGGCTCAACACCTAGCACAGTGGATCCCTTTATAGTAGCAAATGGTTTCCTATAACATGGCTAACTAGGATCCCACATATAAATCCAAGAGCTTGACTTTTAATAGTTAAATGCACCTCAAGACATGTTTTTATCATGGCTTGAAAAAAATGTGCCTGTTACAACTGTACAACTGAAATGAAGGCTTTAGTAATGCACAAATGTTACCTGTCTTCCATTAAACAAGTTTCCACTGTCCTCCCAAGCTCTAACTACTGTTGGCTCTCTGCAGTGAGGTAGGTGCTCCAAGAAACAGCAGCCATGGTAAGGAATTTGTATCCATACAGTCTGTTCATATACTGACATTCCCCCACCCCAATCCCAAAACACTGGAAATGTCTAACAACCTTTCAGAGTGGACAAATAACTGATGAATCTAGGTCTTTTAAACCTATAAAAGGCAGATTTCACCAGTTACAGATTTTTCACAGAAAGGTCCTGGGAAGGGATGGAAAGGTGTGCTTTTACACATGAGAATCTCAAATTGTCAAAAGCAGGTCTTCTGGTGGACAGAGACAGGATCTGAAACTCCACTGCTCATGATATGATACTAATAACTCTGAGGAGAAAAAAAGCAATATGTCCATTTATGTCTTATGGCCCCCAGCACAAAGTCATACTAATAAGTACACAACGCTGTTAAATATAGGGTGGGACAAAAGTAGGTGTACAGTCATGAGTACACGAAAAACAGAGTTTATTCTTGTATTACTTATTATTGTAGTATTTTCCATACAAACAACTGTAAACCTACTTTTGCCCCCCTGTATGTAAAACAGAAATAAAGTGTGTGGTAGTTACTAAGGTACTGACTGTCAAGTGATTATAGCTATTTCACTCCCATAATCAAACACTGCTTTTAAGCAATTTTCCTGAATTTTACGCAGTACATTTCAAAAAGTGACTTTAAGATAAATGAAAAGAAGATGCAATCCTCTTTCCACTTAAGTGAACTTTCATTCTCCCCTTGGTCATGTTCAATATCTTTTCTAAATTAGTTGTTCTGTAGAATACATGACATTCAAGGACAGCTAAATGATAATAGTTACTATTCTTCCACTATCATTTCAACATATCCACAGAAATTGAAAGTGTGTCATATTTTTATGTTTATTTCCATGAAAAAGAAATCCAGTGGATGGGGTATTAGAAGAGAAACAACACCTCAGTACATGTTCAAAGTGGCCACTGTTAAATTTTCTAAAGCATTTTCCATATGAACTGGTCAAGCTCTCTTTACTTTTAAAATTTGTGTTCCAGTCATTCAGTTAACCCAAACTCACTTTAAAATGTGTGAAAATAGCACCTCCTGAAAGTGTGTTCTCATATGCTTTGGAGCAATGGAGCATGAATAGTAAAACAGCCTTTGCCAAACTCATGTAACTAAACAAGTGAATTTTTGCAGTCCCATGACTTTGCAGAGCCAACCTATGTATCATCCCAGGACTGGCTCTAATACATCATAGACATCCAAGAGAAGGCAGAAGAGTCACAAATAAGTGAGTCACGCTAATAAATATTTCATCGTTTTGTTTTTACATGGCAGTCTTTTCAAAATGAATTTTACTTCTTAACCAAAAAAACAAATTGGCTAAGTAAAGGTGTGGCTTTAGGACTTAAGTTCCTAGAATAAAAACTATGAAATTTATAAAGATATTTATTTGACAGTGTCAGTCTGGATGCCATTTCATGCATTTCTCATGAACCAATGCCCAAAGATGAACAAAGTCTGAAAGAAAATGCACAGACCACAGAGGAGTCATACAAACTTAAATACATTTAAAATATCAAAGTCAAAGAAAACAAACAATACAAAATTACAATTTCCAGGACACTTTATTGTAATTTCCACTTTACACATTAAGTTAATATTTTTAGTCTAGGCATAAGTGTTTGTACTTATTCAGTAGCAGTATAATCCCCCTAATCTCACAAAGTGAAAAAAAAAAGAAGTTATAAAAAATATCCATTCAGGTATTTATGATATGGGGACAGGGGGCACTTAACTAGCAAAAGGGTTGATACTTTTCAGTATAAATTTATCTGAAAATTTTCTCTATTATTTTTCTTGTTGATGTTAAGTACTCATAATAAAAACAATCTCCCTCTTTGTTGTTCTGCCCTTCCTTGGGCTTTACATTCTGTCTAGCATTTAACTCAAAAAGTCAGGTTACAATCAGTTTACACATTAAAAAAAAAACCATATGCCCCATCTCCCACACATCCAAATGGACACGGATCAGAAGTAGCCTGGCTTTTAGCTGTAATAGAGCTATTTTAAACAATTTCAACCACACACTTAAATGGTAAAATAACTGAAAGTACAAAACCAAAGGAAACCATAAAAATTTCTACACACTGTTGGGATTACCTATTTCTCAAATCCTCAAGTCTAACAGATTTCTTAAAAGTGAAATCGACACAAAAGCGAATGTACGCTTAATGTACAAACTGACAGTAGCTCTATAGGGACAGCTCTCTTTGAATGAGCTATATTACTCAGACGGTGGAATGAAAAAAAAAAGTCTCACTCCTCAAATGTGAGAGAGCCGGCGGTGTGCTTCGAAACACATTTTAATGGGTTTGTTCGGATAAAAATAGGTAGTAAGAGAAAATGTGATTTTTAAAAACCTCCTCCCTCCCCAGGACACAAGGAAACCCAAATGAAAATATGGGAACCTCATAAGCTCCGGTGCTAAGTTCCATCACTAACAGAAAAGAAGTTGGATAGTTGCTATTTTTTCACCCTTCAACGGGCTAGAAACTCTCCTTGTGCGAGGCGGGAATGCTGGCGGGACTTTCACGGGGGTGGGGGAGGTAATGGAAACCAAAGTGAGGAGAGGTCAACACCTTGAGTAATCCAGATCTCCAAATCCCAGGCGATGGGGAGCGGGGTGGCGAAAGAGAGAAGGGTCAAAACTCCTCGAAGTTATTGCAAAAAGAAATTGAACACCTCTGGGAGCCAGTGAGCTGTCTCTTGCAGCAGCACCCTGCTCCAAGTGTGGGGTGCTTGCTTTGGAGGGCAGAAAGCGCGGGGTGCCCTGACTTAGGTCTAGTGGATCCGGGGACCGGGGTAGCGAGAGGGGACAGGAGCAGCCGCCGGCTGGGAGGCAGGCTCATGCCTCGTACTTTACCTCAACTATGAGCCCCATCCCGAGCGCAAGGGAGAGGGCGGCGGAGGACAGGTACTCACTAGGGCTCGTTGGTGAACCGGGGAGTCCGGGGCTGCTGGTATCCGTACAGGTGACAGTAGAGTACATCGAAGCAGAAGCAGCACATCTCCGCTGACACCACCATCTTCCGGGAGCTGGGCGATGAGGACGAGGCGGCGGACGACGAGGAGGGCGAGGAAGAGGTGGCGGCAGCCGGGGTGGAAAGTAGGGTCCCCACTCCGCAGCTCGGAGGTGGCGACAGGGAAATCCCCCCGCCGCCGCCTCCGCAGCCCTGGGGGGGAGAGAGGGTACAGCCGCTGCCGCTACCTCCCCCAGTGAGACCTCCCAGCCCGTTGAGCCGCGTACCGGCGCCTCCTAGTCCCAGCTCCCCAGCTCGACACTGGCTCTCTCCGCTGCAGTGGAAGGAGGAGGCGCCACCACCGCCACCCGAGCCAGAGGGGGGCGAACTGGACAGTTTCTGCTTCTTCACCCCGCAGCAACCCGCCGCCATCTTGGAACAGTCTCCCCCACGCAGCGCTTTCCGACCCATAAGTGAAGCGAGCTGGCGGCGGGGGCGAGCACGCTGCGGCCTGGCCGCCGGGGGCGCGCCTGGAGTTCGCGAGAGGCCCGCCCCTGCCGGCCGGGTGGCCCGGCCACGCGGCCACCCCGTGCGCACCGCAGCCTCCACCTGGGCGCGCGCCCCGCCCTTTCGCGGCTCTGCCTATCCCGCCTGTCCCGCTGCCTCGCGCCTCATCCCTAGCCGCAGCCTCGAGTCAATGGCTCGCAGAGGGATAAAAGAACGGAAAGCCGTGTGGGAGGGCAGAAGGAAAAGGCCAGGAGGAAACGGAGAGTGGAAGCGAAGGGAGGAGGTGGGCACTACCTAGGAAGGAGGGAAGGGAAACTAGTTGGGGGGCGGGGGGCAGCGGGGGAGAAGAAAGTCCGAAGTAAGTATCCAAGTCCCAAAGCACAGCTCGATGACCGGAGCTGCACATGGTGTTAGTGATACTTGAGCCGAGTTACTTGGAACCTGAGCCATCGGCCTCAAATACGCTGGTTGCTGAACTACTGGAGTGTGAGCAAGCAGGTGCTCAGAGCTCCACACCTGAGGCCGCTCCTATACTGGTAAAGTAGGCACAAAGCATCGGGGAAATGGCCACACTGCTATCGCTTTAATACCAATCTAAGCATGCACCGGGCGTTTTCCAAAAGTATGGTAAAAGAGCAATACTGTTTCCTTTCCCTATGGACAAATATGCAAGCCCAATTGAATCTATATATTCACTACTCGTTCCCCAACTATCTCTACTTGCCCCATGAAAATGTTTAGAAGCAAAAAGTAAAGTCCTAACCAACACATCACTTGTTCAAAGATGCCTACTGTGCTCTGGAACCTGCGGTGGTGGGTTATGGGTGTGTGTGTGTGTCTGTGTGTGTGTGTGTGTGCGTGTGTGTGTCTTGGAAACAAAGCAAGAGAAATATGTTTTTGGTCAGCACAGACCTTACAGGTAAATAGGGCAAGTACTATAATGAGTCACAAGTTGAAAGATTTTGTTCAGGAATATTATTACATAGTATTCACTACTATTAATTTTTTAAATTTCTCAAAGAATGCTTGAATGGATGAAGAGTCATATAATTAAGTAGGTCCCATTCTGAGCACCTAAGACAATCAAATATTAAAATTCATAGAAATGAATTTGATAGAAACAGAAAGTATAAGTCATTTCATCATCTGTACACCATGCTAAAACATCTAGACAAATGAGGTATCTGTATATTTGGAGACATCATATAATTGATTGATTCAGTTGCTTTTGAGCTAAAAGTGTGGAATCTTGAAAACAGCTAAGGGCTACTCACTCCACTTATGGAAAAAAAAGTTTATTCATTCAATAAATATTGAGCCTCTGTGCCATACTATGTTCACAACACTGTATTTATGTTGACATCCAGGAAGTATGCCTCCCACTCACAAAGAGTTTATGAATTAAGTCATATCTCGGTACATAATTAGATAAATAGCTACTATTTATTGAGAATTTTGGGGGTGTCAAGTATCATGCCTCGTTTTACCCCCTAGCCCTTCAAAAATAATATATTACCTCACTTGATGTTCACAGTAACCCTCCTTTGAGGTTGCTCATTTACAGAAAATTGAACCTTAGAAGCAACTTGTCCAACATCACACACCTAGAAAGTGACAGAGCCAGGATTTGAATACAAGCATGTCTGATTCCAAAAACCATGCCATTGTGCAAACTGCTTCTCATTATAGGACAGCAAAGGTAGTCGTGATGGATAGAAGATGGTGACATTAAACTACAGTGGGGGGGGGGACAGAGGTTAAACAAAAATAACTTGGTTTTTATGGAAAGATTTAGAAATACTAAAGTATGTTTCTAAGAAAGATTAAGAAACTCATTTTAAAAAGATTTTATGAAATAGATCAACTGTCTGGAATGGTTACATACAACCTAAAGACAAAAGAGATGGGTTAACTGTTTCTGATATGTGATCTCATCCTCTCTAATCTCATCATCACTGTTAGAACTATCCTGTTTGAGGAAAATAACAATTCATTGTCAACCCCAAGTGGAGTAAAAAAAAAAATAATTATTTTTTGTCTATGTTGCAGAAGAGAAAGCAGAATGGTTTTTTTAAAATGCTCCAAAAGATAAATATAAACAAACAAACTGAAATTCATATTTAACTCAAAAATAAAAATGTTCCACAGCAACTGGTACACTATTAGGGTGTTTTGTTTTTATTTTATACTTTACCTTTAACTATCAGAGCCTACCTTTTAATTTGTTTGAAACTAGGTTGAATACAATAACAGACAATAAGTACCAATTTACTCACCACTCCACTAAGAAGTACTAGTAAACAATTTTAGGGTAGAAAATCAATGCCATCTAATGACATAACACTACAGTATAGTACAGGAAGCAAAGTGGTGTGGCATAGATGGCTGCTTCTGCTAGGGGAATTTAGGAAAGCAGAATGTAATCTCCCAATTTAGAATTTGGCCAGTAGACAGGAGTCTAACGCCCTTACTCTTGTGAAAATAGCAAGGAATCTTTAATAAGCACCAGTAGTCATGTCCTTAGTTCTGCATTTTATCTAAAAGACAAAGCACTATTATGGCTATCATACCAGGCTAAGGGACTGATGCAATGGGAAACCCTAAAACAAGGACATCCAAGCTGAATTACAAAAACAGCTTTTCCCCTCAAGGATTTTAAAATCTAATTCCAAACCTTACAATCATAGAGGAAATAGACCCAAACATGGACATTGCAGAAAATAAATCATTACCTGATCACTAGGAGTTACTATCTGAAGTACTTTGTTGTTTTGGCTGGCTAAAGTGGGCTAGGGAGGAAGGGTGAACACTCCAAGCTTTTCCTCTGTGTTAACTTCTTCTGAGCCTGGCTCATCTCCCATACTAATTTTGTGCCTCAAGATGCTTTGCAAATGCCCTGGCACGTACTGGTGGTGGTGGTGGTAATGCCTTCTTTTAGCCTTTGAGGAAATGCCTCTCCTGGCTTTGTTTTCTTGCAAAGTCACAGCATAGAAATAAATATATTCATTCAAACAACAATGAAATTCACAAATCCAATTCTGTGACAATGTGTTTGTTTTTTTACATCTACACAAAATGTACACTGGAGAGGAAAATTGGTCTTGCTCAAGATTCTTTCTACTTGAAGTGTAAGGGTCAAAGTATGGTAGAGCACATGTGTTTCTACCCGCTACTGATACTGGAGTGCATTGATAATACTCTCCTGAGGAAACGTTAAGGTGCCTTCTGCTTTTTGTAACTGACTGTCAAGCTGGGAGCTAAAGATTCCACATTTCCTTTAAATGAAAAAAACTAAATAGGCCATAGTCTCTTTGTCAACAGAGCACATTTGAACTGTAAGCATTTCTGCTTCTGCCTCTAAATTGCTATGAACTAACTTTTGTCAAACGCTTTGTTTAAAACTGTGAAAAGCAACTTGAACAAAAGTTATACAGACAAGTTGCTAGGTGGTAAAACTAGAAATGGAATTAAATCTAATAGTTACTGGTTGTTTTATCAATACCTCAATTTCTTCTCATGTTTACAATATTTTTCATTTCAGAAAAATATATTTTGATAAGGTGCAGAACACTGTTAATATTGAAAAATTATTTTTTTTAGGTTCCTGGGGGTGTGGGTGACATGAGGAATGTTCACATAGTTCAATGAAAAGAAACTTCCATTTATGCCCAAACAGTGTTATTTTTATCCTCTGTCATTAAACTTTCTCAACTGTCATCCTTGAACAACTGCAGAATATAATATTATTAGCTCCCACTTTGATCTAACTTTGTACACATATAACACATGGTTGTGGTGGTGGAGGTGGCCATCAGTTCCCTTTATCATTTGCATGAATATGAGAATAAATACTGAAATTCTTTACCTTCTTTTCAATTCAAATTGACAAATAAGCTTTTCTTTTCCTGATTACAAAACAGATCCTTCCCACCTGAATCCTTTCTTTATCTAATAAACACATTAATAAGCAAAGTACCATCATCTACTATGGACTGTTTTCTAGTTGTTTCATTTATATATTCTGTCAATTGGAGAGCAAACTAATTGAATATCTTTTACTACCTATTTCCTTGAGTCAAAGTTATATAAACTCAATGAGATTTATGCTAATATCTATGCTGTATGTGGAAGAATTAATAAAGCTAGCTAGTTGTGGATTGGAAAGGAAAATTTTTTAGGGAGGATATAAAATGAATATTATTTTGGGCAGTTAGAGGAATCGTGAGCAAACAAAACCTGAAGGTGTCTACTACAATTTCGAGAATAATTACTTGACTATTTTTCTTATTTATCTTTTCCTTTAAGACTTCATCTACTATCCTCTGCATGTAATGTGGTGTGAAAATGTCTATATTATAATGTTCCTCTCCTTCAAATCCTATCTAATAAAGAGGGAATATGCTAATTGACCCTCAAACCATCACAAAGATGGCGGTGCCCACAGCCAATAAGGAAGGAATATGCTAATTGACTGCCCCACCCGCAAAGATGGCGGTGCCCACAGCCACAAGATGGTGGTGCCCAATCCCCTCAGCCCCGCCGGGGCACCTGCCTCCGGAGTCCCCCAGTCCCCTCAGACCCCAGCTGCCCAGGGCTGGCCTGAGGTGCAGGCAAGCCTCAGCTGTCAGCTGCCCAGCTGCCCAGGGCCAGCTCAAAGCACAGGCAAGCCTCGGATGACGGCTGCCCAGCAGCCCAGGGCCGGCCTGAGGCACAGGTAACCAGGGCCAGCCGAGGCTTGCACTGCCAGCAGTGGCAGCAGCAGAGGTGTGATGGGGGCATCGCCTTCCACTGATCACCGGGTCACTTCCTGCCCCTGAGGGCTCCCGGACTGTGAGAGGGGAAGGCCAGGCTGAGGGACGCCCCCTCCAGTGCATGAATTTTCATGCACTGGGCCTCTAGTGTAATTATAAACCTATAGTTCTTTTTCTATAGCATATCGTGTTCTGGAGCACGTGTTCCAGTTGCCTGGAGATACAGGTTGGACAGAGTGAAGATTAACATTGTCAATTAAAATTTAAAAATGTGTTCTGAATTAAAAGTCTCTTGTGCAAATACAGGTTTTCCCCATTATCTGAACTAGAG